TTGATCGAAAAACTAAAGACCTTCCATCTGTCTGAACAGGTTTTCAGATGGATTATGCAGTGCCTACTTGGGCGGTCCTTCTATGTCAGGGTAGAGGGTGAAATGTCCACTAGGTGGGCAGCATGTAGTGGTGTGCCCCAAGGGTCCGTGCTGGGACCTCTACTATTCCTCAATTACATAGATTACCTGACCAAGAGGATAGTGCAACCTTTTTTCTGTTTGCCGATGACAAAATTATCGGTGACCCCTCCACCAACGCCATTGAAGATGACCTAGATGAAGTTCAGTGAACGTAGGAGTGGCTGTTACCACTAAATGCTAGCAAGTGTAAACAGCTTCTCTTAGGGGGATCNGCGGGGAATGAGGTTCAGTTCAGTTCAGTTTGCGCAGGACAGAAAATGGCCACGGCCAATTGAGCGTCCAGAATTCCTTCGGTGGTATGCGGTCAAGTATGGCATCCACCACTGCGAAAAGTAATCCGTACTTCCTGGCTGAAAAGAGGAAGGGAAAGACGTCTCATCTCACCTCCAAGGCGAGAGATTGTTACACGTGATCGTTCCCCAATACATAGCAAAGAGAAAACAAAAAATATACAATCTGAGTGACCCGCTTTCAATCCTCTCAGTTTTCTGAAGTCGCTAGCTTGTCATACCTCCACTTCAGGAACAAGTTCACACCACCGTTCGTCCGGGGCCGACCGTCTGCACCGTCTGCAGTTGTACTAGCTCCACAGGTTGTTTAGAGTTGACATGCTTCTTGCTTGCCAACTATTCTCCCATAGAGATATCGTACTGGAACCAGGTTTCTGCCGGGAAAACATTTGCAAGACAGCGACGGAAACAAGTTTGAAGCGTTGGGAGAAGAGTCCTTCCTACCGGGGAAAGAATCTGGACGTTTGCTTGACGAAAGCCTTTTCCGTTCTGTAATACCTGACCTGAACAAAGTTGCAGCCCAGATGGTTTACAAACTGAAGCCAGATCCAGGACAACCTTTATGCTCAGTCTCCCATGTCCTGAAAAATTGGTTTGGATTTACGATCTCAACTGAAAGTTCTCAACATCCAGAACCACCAATTTTAGGTCATGTTTCTTCTCCCAACACACCTTTTACTCTGAGTAGCTCGGAGCGGCTGATTGCGAGCTGTTGCTTTGATCGTGGTAAAACCTCAGACGTGTAATGTCACTCAGAAAAACCGTCAGAAGTGTGTTTTACTTTTCCAGAACCGCACCCACCCACGTCTACTTGAACAAAATAATACAATTGTCGCAGTGCCGTCGTGCTCCCAAGCTCAAAGGTGCAAGGTACTGGACTACTTCTGGCTCCACCCCAAGTCCTGTGATCTGTCCTGTCCTGTCCAACTACTTTTGGACCACAAAGGGAACGCGCCCACGTTGTTTGTTTAAGCGAGTCCCGCATTTTCCGTAGTGATGAGTTTTGAGTCTCGGTTCTTGGAAGTCTTTTGTGGCCGCGATTTCACTTCTTATGAGGAATTTGATGAAGTACTAAAATCGTTCATGAAAGAAACCTTTTGCAATTTCGTCCTGCGCACCTGTGTTAAAGATGAACATTCTAACCTTCGTTATAGCAAAATGCATTTCTTATGCAGTCGCCGAAAACCTCGTCCTACCTGCAGCAGGGGTGTCAGAACCGTGAAGTAAGTGGTTAATAACCATTGGAAATTTGACCTGCTAGAACAAAGTCTACAGGTTGTCCCGCCAGGTTCACGGTGAACGCCCACGGATCATGTCTGAGAGTCACTTCATTTTTCGCTCAACACAACCACCCATTGAGTGAACAGTCTTATAAGTCACACCCCCTCAACAAAAGGCTGACACCAGAAGAAGCTTCAGAAGCCCGCCACATCCTACAATTTTGTCCTGATGTCCATATGGTGAAAGAGTTTGTGGAGGCACGGTTTGGAAAACACTTGAGTACTAACGACGTTTACAACATTACGCGAAGGAAGAGAGCCAAAGAAAGTTCATAGGTCGTCAGTTACTTCACATGGTAGGTTTCTTTTGATTTGCGCTAAACGATTTCAGTATTGTAAATTAGGTATTCAACAGCGATGGAACCAGATGGAACAACCCACAAATTCCGCGTACAAAATGTCTAAATCCTTTGGTCAGACTTACTGTGATCTCACCTATTTTCGTGTTTTTCCGAAGAGCGCTCTGGAAGTCCTTTTTGAAGAGATGAATTGTTCGCCGCTTGTGGTTGTCCTACAGTTGGCTGAATTGTACCCCTATTTGTATAATACACATCGTTATTGATGTTTGCATATACCAATCGCCTGTTCTTTTAGCAGGTAATGCATTATTTTATAAGATAGCGCCTGCCATTAAGATCAACCCATGCTAGCATTATACAATCAGTAACCAATATATTGTGGATAAGTGCTAAAAGAATGTTTCATCAGTCAACTTTGGAGATGATGACATGATTGACGTCGTTTCATCACTGCAATCATAGAATGCCTTCCAGGTCTAAAATGAAATCTCTTTCGGATTAACATCGTGGCTGTCAAAACTACTTTCGCCAAAAGGAGGATTATGTTTGGTTAACTCAACAAAATCCTTTCCTCATAATATGCGGTGAATCTTCAAAAGGGTGTTAGATTATGTGAGGAAAAGACCACTAGGTTTAGTCAACCACCTTATTCATGGTTAGCCGCGAAGCGGCGGACGTTTCCCGATTAGCGATCTGGGGCGGGCTCAGTAGCATACAGCTCTTCTCTCCCACATAAAGCCCCGGCCAACTTTGGCGGTAGACAGCTTTCTTTAGATCCGGCTGAATGCTCCACTCATGCGATATGAGATTTATGTCATAAATAACCCATATCGCACGAGCGCAGTGTCGAGCTGGATGAAAGCGAAGTTTCCTACAATCAAAATTGGTGGGCAGTGGCAGACTTCCGACCTTGGAACGATTTAGGATAACTAAATTGAAAATTTCCTCTGGATTTGGAACCTGTTGGGACGTCATTAGGATATTCGTCGCACCCCTTACTTATTACATCTGTTTGATTGAACGCCGATTGGCAAATTAATCGAACTGTCGCGGGATTTGTTTCGCTTGTCGAGGATAAATTAATATCGCATCGACGTTACACCTGATTGGGATCAGTGAAATACAAGCCAAGGCCGTTTTAGTGATATCACCTCACTAAATTTTTCCAAATGTGTAGTTGTATACTTTAAAAACCTAGTTTGTTCCATTATTTTCCTCCTGAGAGACCTAAATGGAATCTATTTCATATATTCATTTTCAAGGTGCGAAACCTATTGTTTACTGCTACTGCATTGATGAAGTTAACAAACAAAACTAGGAGCTAGTTTTAGTTTTCCTGCTCAAAATGAGCAGTTGTCTGTCATCATTGTCTCTAGGATTTAATTTGCAAATCATGGAATCTTTCTTTTTTACAAAGATTATTGCACCATGATTTGTTTGGCACAGTCTGGATTCAGACATGTGAACATAAGTAAAAATCGTCTCCGTGGAAATGTAGCAGCGCCGCCAGACCCGTTTCGGCGATGAATGGGGACGCTGCCTCACTGCGCTATCATTGCTGCCGAAATTTTTTCCCCCAGGCGTCACATGCCTCCTCCCCTCCTGACAATTGTTTGCAACTTTATGTTCAACGCAAGGAACTGAAAAAAGTTTAAACCTTACGTCATCGTACAGCGGAATAAAGTGAAACAGACTTTTACGATCACTGCCAGACTCATAATGCACACAAGGTAGGTGAGAATATGTAAATTGTTCATGTGTTAGGATTATCTTGGAGAACGACTAAAGAAAACGAACCCCTATAGTCAACACACAGAGTACATAGTTCAACTACGCGTGCACACATTTGAAGCATTCTAATCTGATAAGTGACATCTAGTAGGCCACTGCTGACCGTTCAATGCCATGTCCTTTAGTGTCTCCAACCAACCAATTAAGGTTTCTTTTGAGCCCCATCCCGGAAGACGCGAGAGACCTGCTTTACCTAAGCGCTCTATACTTTTTTTCACACCGCGTCGTCTGCTGGCCTCGACGTGACTTTCTCCAGTCTGGATGGCACAGTGCAAATAAGACATAATGCGGTAGGTGACCGTTAGGCATAAGTAAAATGTGTTCTAACCAGCGAATCCTATTGAGTTGAATTCAATATGATAGCAAACTTCCTTGATACATGCGCAAACACACCTAATTAATTAGTTAATCACATGATCACCTTTAAAGGCGAGTCTGAGGGAGACGCTCTTCTTCGGTACTTCGCAGACGAGAGCAACCGATGTCTTTCGTTTGCTGTGAACATCAATGAATTTCTCTGGATAGCCATTATCCAGTAGCGTCCTTCGCAGAAAGGCCTCTTCTTCTTGGACAGTGTCAGGGGAGCGTATATTCCTGGTGCGATGAAACAGTCTTCACCAGGCTCTTGTGAGCCACAGAAGCGAAACTGGCAAATTGCAAGTATTGCCCACTCCATGTAGTCTTCCGGTAGACGGATCTTTGCAAGGTTCCATCTGATCGCCTCCTGATTTTTATTTCTACAAAATTCAAACAACCGTCCTTTTCCTCCTCAACGGAAACAGAGAGATTGGGATGTATAGTATTAAAAAGCGTTAAAATGCTCAGAGTCGGTAAAAATCACAATATCATCAACATAACGTTTGTACAAAACAGCCATTGAAATATTATCATTCAATTGTCTTGCAACCATCCCCAGAAATACATCGGCTAATGTTGGACCTAGGGGACTGCCCATTGCTACACCGTTAATTTGTCTGTGCGCTGTACCTTCAAATTCAAAACGTATGTTCTCAGTGCAAACAATGATAAGATCTTTTAAATCATCAAGAGGAATAGGAAGATGAATATTCATTGAAGAGATAAAATCACAGAAAAAGTCTACTGTTTCATGGAGAGGAACATTTGTAAAAAGTGAATCAACATCAACAGAAAACATCTTATGAGAAGATAAATTAAAATTGCCCAATAAATTAGCAAGTTCAAAAGAGTTTAATACAATGAGGCGTCAGAGCTTTGCGAATAAGATCCAAAATGTCGACCAACCATCGGGCCACCTTGTGATATAATGAATTCTGCATGCATAAGATTGGACTGAGTGGGGCACAGGCTTTGTGAATTTTGGATGAGCATCTCATCTGGAGTGTCCCTGTTCCCAGTGGTTTCAGATTTTTGTATTGAGCTTCAGCGATGTAACCGTGTAATAATAGAATCTGAAGCTTTCGGGTTATCATCTTTTCTGTGAGAGTACCGTTATCAGGCGTCTTGTCCGCTTTGAATTTGCTGTCATCCGACAATATTCGGTTCATTTTTTCCTTGTAGCTTTCTTTGGTCATAATAACCACCCCAGAGCCTTTGTCGGGTTTGAGGAATTTTAATTCAGACATCATCCGCAATCCTTGTATGGCTTTATAGTGTTCTGCTTTGAGACCAGTTTGTTGTCTTATAGGCGCAGAAAGGAAGGTGTGCAAAATGTCCACCATTGTAGCACAAAGCCAACCAGCACTATCAGCTGAGGTTGCCGAAAGGTCTTTAAATTGGTCACACAGGTTTTCGAATTCAATTTTTGTTTGGATCTTGTTCAACTTCTTTTGGGGAGTCTTGAAGTTCAAACCAAGTGACAGTACGTTAAGTTGTGGTTTTGTGAAGACCATGCCTGAGAGACTGTGAATATATCCCCTTGTGCTTTTCGAAACGGAAACTGCGTTATGAGATGAAAATAGGGAGCTTGTCATTTCAGCTAGTGTTCTCGAAGTTGTCATTCATGATAAGTTCTCATACTTGATGCTACAAACTAAACTGAGTTCGCGTAGAAGAACAGCAAAACGTTGTTGTGTCTCGATGAACTTGTTCATTTGAGAGATCGTAGCCTCCAGATGGAAACTGGTGATTCTAACTAAGTTGACTGTGTTGGCTTCCAACTTCTCTTTCAAGAGTAATTTTGAAAACCGCATCGGAAATTCACACGAACGAATACATTCCCGATAAAATTCTACCTTTGTCCGTTCCACTGAAGTTTTGCAACGAAGCTAATTGCACCTAGGTTGCCGACCCGCCTGCTCCATTACATCTGTGCCAGACTGCGTTTTCATCGATTGTTGAAAACCTTTGGGCGATGAATGTCTTTTGCTGGCAAATTAAAGGTCTCATAACAGTAAAGCAGAACTGATTGTACAGTGGTGCTGTATACGCGACTTTTCAACGTCATTGAGACGTCGCTTCTTCGCCATTGGTGCGTCAGTTCAACGTACTCTGCCCGAGTCTTAGAAACGAGTGAGATGTTCTTTTTCACTGTCCTCCAGTCGTTGGTCACACAACTACCCAAATACGAGAAGCAGCTAATTCCTGACCGTAACCGGCTTAACTCTGCACTTTGACGGTGCAAGTGCGTACCGGCCACTGCAACAGAACTTCTTAGTCTGTGCAGTATCCTTTGCGCTTCCTCTTTAGACAAGCGATGTCTTCAGTGTACTCCAGATCGCTTAGCTTTTCTCCAGCTGACCATCCAATGCCCAAATTTTGGAAACCACATAGTGCGTTCTCCAGTATTTCGTCTACGACGAAAGCAAATAAGAATAACAAAATGGGTCACCCTTGACGAACACCGCCTCTGATTTCGAACGATCTACTCAGCTCGCCTTAGAAACTAGCGCTATCAGAAGTATGCGAGTGCGGTAAACTCAATATGTTCACTTGATTCAGCGGCACCCCTTTTCGAAAACGAGTGAAATAAGGCTCATCAGGTACTGTTGCTTCAGGGCTTGAATGAAAAATCGGACAAAATTTCCCTGGAAGCACACGACCGTCCAGTCATTCACACACTAAATATTACGAAATATTCTGTANNAAAAGTGACCCGATTTTGCAAACAAGGTTGTTGTGGCGAAGTGATCGACGGTTTCCAACGGGTCACTCACGAGCGCGAAGACAGGTGTAGCCTCTTGCCAGTCATATAAAACTGCGTGACGGAAAACGCTAACTAATAAAGTTTTAAGCGTCTTGGGAGGAGTATAACGAAGTCGTCGGCATATTCCAACTCACGGAG